AGTCCAATTCACATTCTATTATATAAACCTGAGTATAAGTTAATATTATATTACTTTACTCAGTTTTATTAAAATCCTCCATAAAATTGAAGAGTCCTATTATTTATCATGTCATGGTTGTTTCATTCTACTTTTTGCTGTCACTCGACTTTCTTTATTCACTGGAGGTCTTTGAACTTGTTTGCTTGTATCTTCTTTGTTTTGTGTTGTGCGTTTACCAGCTACTGTTGAAGTGGAATCCCTTTGTGGAACTGAAATTCTAGTTTTTTAACTTGGATTATCATGTTTGATTGTTCAGTTTAGTTCTCTGAAAAGTGCTTTATCAGCTATCTTCTTTTTTTATTTCTTTCTCCTTTTTCATATTATCCTTATTTCTTGCATATGGTGAGCTCCTAACTTATTTTGCTTGTTATGTTTCCTTTTCAAACACTGTTTCTCATAAGACGAAAACTAGCTGCTGCTCTGCATGCATTTGACAAGAAACAGCCTGAATTCTATTCTTCCTGTCAATAATTTGAATATAAAGGATGGATGATGGGGACAACATCATAATGCAAGAACTTTAAGATGAATATTTAAAGGCCAGCAAAATTTCTACAGTAAGAAGACTTTCACCAACCCCCCCCCCCCCCAAAACCCAAAAAAAAAAAAAAAAAATTCGCTGTGCATTTTTCATTGTTACTATCATGTATTTTAGAACAATCTAACGAGAATTATCTATATGTTGTGCAGATGGAGTTGATGCGCCGCCACCGGCTCCAAATAACAGGGCAAACAATTCTAATGCGCTTATGATGAATAAGAGATCATGGCATCCTTTTCTTGAAAGATGGATTATGCTATTAAAAGAACGAAATTAAAATTGCCAATAGCAGAAAGAAGGAAGCCTTGGCTGGCACGACGAGGCACTTCCAGCAGCGCAGAAAAAGCCCTTGCTGGAGCGGACAAGGCTTTTGATGAACGAGACAATGCTCTGCAGGCAATTCAATACCGTGGAAAATTGGTATGAATTTTCCTCTGCAAAGCAACGGAATCACATGCCCGGCCACGGGATCAAAGCGTCATTCCGCACCGTTGTACAACGCCGATGAGGTGGTAGAACTCTACATGCTGGAAAATGCATATCACTGCATGCCTTCCCTTTAACAACCATTTTCAGCTGAGATCTCTTAAGCAAAACAACGCCAACCCAAAACGCAACAAAGTGGAGAACAAAGCAGTTCTCAAATGAAGGCAACCAAGTCATCAAGGCAAGGGGAAATAAAAGTAGGGTGAAGATCTGAATAGACAAGCGCTTCCTGAAGCAAAGAAATTTAAGCTCAATGCGATATCATGTTGCAGCCTTAACCTAGGTCAATTTGATGAGTCCACATGGCCAGTGCAGTTGTGCTCATTGCCAGGAGTCCTCACAATTGCTATAAATGGGGACAATGGCGGGTGCAGTCGCTCCTGCCTGCGAACCACACCCTGCATCATATCCATTACCACAGATGCCGCATAAACGCCCATGCCAGAGTTGGTGGTCGGAAGGATGAAGCGGCATGTTTTTTTTTGTGGGTCCACTAAAAATTGCTTAGTCGATTGGCATCAGGGGGAATGCACTACCATCCCTGCGGATCTCAAGGACTAACTGGGCTAGGACCATGGACAAATCGCTACATCACCATAAGAAATGTATTTATCTAGAGCCCTCTCATTTTGTCTTAATTGTTTCTTCTTATGTTGATGAGAGTGATAAAGTATTAAAAAGCTTGATGTATGCAAAGTATTGATATATCTTGATAGGGAAAGATGTGTTTCTCTGCTCTCTGGGTTCTTATATTGATGCTGCTGTTATTTGGCAAAGTAGGGATTTTTGATTCGAGAGAATTTTCTAGAGCTGACGGGGGTGCGGGGGTCGTGCCAATATATCGATTAAACTGTTCCTCTACCGTTCACGGGCCAATCTTCAGCCCAATTTGCCAATGCGAAAAATGCTGAATAATCATCTTGCCCAAGTTCTCTGTTTCGTAACAAAGAAACTATTTTGCGAGTAAGGTGAAAAAGAAAGCGTGACTCTAATAGCTGTTTTTTTTTTTTCTTTTTTTGGGTTTCTCGCGTGAAAATGATTGTGGTGCATCTGTTCATCACCTGTAATACAGGAATCTGAATGTTCAGCGTGTCTGAAAAGAGTCATGATTTGAGATTCAGCGCTCTAATGTAGGATCGACTCGATCCTAGGCAGGTCGCGGAAAGTATTAGAATATTTAGGCCAGCGAACCAAGAGCTTTACAAGATCAATTTTTGATTCCATTTACTACATGAAAGTTATAATTCACGAGCGATTTGACGTCAGAAAAAACTCCTGGAATTTATCTAAATTCTAGTATGAATTTTGATTTTTTCTATGGCAAATTTCAGCATGAACTACAAGTTCG